GACAGACAGACAGACAGACAGACAGACAGACAGACAGACAGACAGACAGACAGACGAGTTCACCATATCTGCAAGCCAGGAAAAGGAATGCTGAATACTGTAATACACTTCTCTGCCGAAAATGACCAATGAAGCCAGAGTGTGAAGAGTCATTTTGAGTTCCTTAGGTGTGTTAAGAAAATCATTTGCTTTCCTGTTTCTAAATGCATTGAAAAGCAGCAATGTAATGGGTTGGCCTAATGGTGGAGGTGGTGGTAGTGGCAGTAGCAATTAGGGTAGGCAGTGCTGTAACTGGCGGTGACTGGTGGGAGGAGTCGTAGCGGAAGTGGACTCTTTTCTGTTTTCGTAAGAGTTTTACAGCACTTGCAACACAATAAGGTCATATAAGTGCCGAAGATTAGAGGAGTTACAAGAGAGTAACAATCATAAAAAAGAAGGAGGGGAGATAAGGACGATAGATGTTCGATAGGAAAGAAGAAGCAAACCATACAAGAGCACCTGCCAACCACCCACAAAGTGGACTCAGTGAAGCTTGAGGTGGTTGATGTGTCAGTGGTGTCACTGGCAATGTTGGCATTGGTGGCATTGAAAGTGACAATAGTGGGGGCAGTCATGCCTCTTATGCTTGTGGTTTTTTGTTTTAGTAGAGGTTTTACGGCGCTCGCAACTGCATAAGGTGATATGAGCGCCAGAAGATTAGAGGTGTTACAAGAGAGTCTTACTTTACTTTAATCCGCCGCTTATACCCTTTTGGGAACCACAGGAAGAAAGAGACGTCTCTCTGTCGCTAGCCAGAGAGCTTGGGTCAAGAGAGTAACAAACATAAAAAAGAAGGAGGGGAGATAAGGACGATAGATGTTTGATAGGAATGAAGGAGCAAACCACACCAGAGCACCCGCCAACCACCTACTATGCTTTTCGTGACAGGACAAGTGTTGTTGATCACAGTAATATTAAAAAACCAAAACCAAAAAGAAGCAGACCCCACCAGCGAGTGCATGCACCTAATACGTGAACACATTAATTAACCAAATGAGACCGAGAGCACGCCTGAGCACATGCCACCCCAACCCTTGTGCACACCAATGGCACGTCTCCGAATAGCCTGATGTAAACCACGGAGTCTAACAAAGGAAGCCCAGGTGTACGGGTCCTTTATTCTCAGGAGACCAGGCTCAAAGAGCAAATCAACTGAATTCATCAACTCTAGCACAATGCTATGCCTGGTACTGACTGACATCAAGGACAAAAATGGTGTAACTTCAAAAACCGACATGATTTTTCTTTTTCATCTGACAATCACGGACAAAAGAACTATGCCGTTTGTTAGAAGTAGGTTATGGCAAGTCAGCACTATGACAACAACATTTCACATGAAATGGACTCAAGAAAAGAAAAGCACACAGAAAGGAAGAAGAGGGAACAGATAATACCAGGGCATTCACCAACAAGGCATAGATAAAAGAGAAGATTTTAGGTCTTCAAGAAAAAAAGCAGCCTTCTAGACAGGTGGAATGCTTACACAGCATCATTTTAATCTGTCCCCGTGGTTTTATGCACCCCGCATAATTTAGCAAAATTCCATCATTTTTCGCATAATTTCTGATTATTTTCCTTTATCATTCTTTGTTAAAATTAACAGAATCGCATAATTTCATATTTTTGGGCTCAGTTAGCATAATTCCAGAATTTTTCTTACATAAAACGACGGGGACAGTTTAATGTTTTAAAAAAGGCAAAGGGGCAAATGAGAAGTGGCCCTGTGTACAGGTCTTTGTGTCATGCAAGTGGCTGTTAAAGCAGGTTTGACCTCATGTTTAACATGAGTTTTTCAGTTCTGTCTTTTCCATGGAACATGTTTTCCTCCACTTTTTTACAGAATAAAAAGTGTAAAAGAGTTAAGGAGAGAATCTCTCAAAGCTCGAAACTGTTAAACAAAGCAATTTCAGATAAAGAGAGCCACTTGACGAGCACAATAGTGAAAGACAGGAAGGAAGGGACATAACAAACTTAACTTACATGTCTCTTTCCAGCTTAGAAGGTGGAGTGTAGCCTCCCTTGACGCTGAAGGTGGTGTCTCTCTCGGGTGTGCGCTTGTGGGCCAAGAGCTCCTCCAGAAACCCCAGGTCTGTGAAGACAATGTAAAAGTGCAGAAATAATGACAACTTTAACTTAACATCAGTTACCACGATGGCATTCAGCAAAATCCAGTACCGCCCTCAAGACAATATCAATCAAAGGAAAACAATAAGGTTAAAGAAGAAAAAAGAAGAAGAAAAAAAGAATAAAAGAAAGAGAGAGGAAAGAGAGAGGAAAAAAAAAGAAAGAAACCACAACTTTTCTTACCTTTCCACATTTTGGTTTAGATAAACATATATCCAAAGGCATACAGATAACTAGAAAAGAAGTTATGCATTCAGAGGAAACTATAAACCAACAATTTCATTTGAACATTACCCTGTTTCAGCGATACTGTAAACATACCTTGCTCAAAAGACAGTTCAGTGCTGACCATTTCATATCTATTGTAAACCCTCTAAGCCCATTCAGGCATGCATTCATGTCTAAACTGTTAGAAATTCTAATCACAGCCAAACTTGTCCAATATAATCGCTCTTTGTTGGCGAAATAACTGGTCCTTTTAGATAGGTGGTCCTCTTAGACAGTGTTATTATGATAAATAAAAAAAACAGAAGGGAGGAAGCAAGTATTGGTCGTTTGTGCAGGTGATTGTCTTGGACAGGTGGCTGTCAGAGCTGTATTGACTGTACTTACTTAGTCTTCAAGCTTTGTGTTCTTTTCTCACTGACGTAATAAACGTGATAGCAGCCCAATTCATTATGTAGCATGAGTAAGGACTTTGAATACAGATATTGAAAACAACAAGCCCTAAAAGAAGTACAAGATGCAGACTAAACAAAAGCGTCAATCAGTTACCCACTTTTTAAAAAAAATTATGCATTGTTCCAGTTACAAGAAAAACTCCAATGTTTCTTAATACACTGTATAGTAGGGTCAAATTAGTTACTCATCTTCCTCGAAACATCAACTATACCCCTTTTTAGTGAGGACTCAAACATTTCTTAATGAGCCTTGTGTATAAAAGCACACTCAAACTTACTGTTCCTCGTGTTCTCCGGAAGAAAATACGGCGTTGGTGTCGGTACTTTTTGTCTCGGCGCCGGCGTGTCCAGGTGCGACCCCTGTAACTCTCGAACCTCGTTAAGATAACTGCGCTGCTTTTCCATCAGGTCTCGGCTGTACATCAGAGGCTGCTGCTGCTTGCTGGCGGGAGTCACCGTTGATTTGTAGGGGAACAGAACGTCTGGGTCGGCAAGTGCTGGTTGTTGTTGGGCCAAAGAAACGCCGTTGTTGCGTTTTGTCACAGCCTGTGGTATGCGGCTTGACTGGAACTGTCTGGAGGGTGACACCTGGCGGCGTGACTGACCCATCATTCGGTCACTCGGGCTCTTCGACCGGGACATCATCAGCAACTGAGCCTGAAAACAGAAAAGTTGAGTTCATTCATACTGAAAATCAAGTCAAGACATTTGAAAAGACCAGACGTTTGAGATGATCCATTAACAACAATAAAATTGCAAGAATGTTGAAAGACCTGAACAAATTTAACACAGAATGCATCTTTAAAGTGCACAGCAAACAAAAGAAAAGTCTACGCTTTCTATTTCTTACAAGAAAAGGTTAGACACTGAACCTAATTTTCCTGGTGAAAACAATGATATTGGCTAGGGTACAAAGTATTATGCATATGACAACCGTCTTGACTGTGGCCATTCCTCCTGCCCTTTCAACTTCTCTCACTCTCTCCAGTTCTCTCTGTCTCTCTCTCTGTCTCTCTCACACACACACATAGACATATACATTTTCCTTCACACGGTCTCTCAATGCAAGCAGGATTCTAATACTGTGATTCAAAATCAAATTAAAAAATAAAACCTCTCGAACATCACAACTTTCCAAAGTCATGGGAAGTTCCCCAGGAAATGCATCACCATTCCTCTCAATCTCCTGAGACCCACCTGCATTTGCAGCTGCTGTTGCTGTAGGGTTTCCAGATGCTCCAGCCGTCTTTCATTGAGTTCTTTCACTTGTCGCTCAAGATCGTCAACCCGACTGTCTCCTCCACCACTACTCAGCCCTGCGGGGGCACTCAGATCTTTCTGTTCCTGAAGCCCTCCAAGCTGACTCAACAACTGCTGCATGCGTGACTCCAGCTCTTGCTGAGCCTACAGAAGAAAGCAAGAGCTGAGTAAAATCTTCAGTGATTCACTTCTTTCAAAAGTATGTGGCTCATCTAAGAGTCATGACGTTCCAATAAATTCCTAACACCCAGGCTATGAGTAGACTCATTTGACTTCTATTTGGGACAATGAGAATACTTGCAGCCGACGGTTTTGAATGAAACAACAGCTAGAAAAATATATCCTAGAGGAAGTTCTTCATGACATGATGATCTTAGCAGAGTGTGAGGAACACTATTCAGAAGTAACTGACAAAAAACGAGTGTTGAAAGTTCAGTTGCAGGTAATTTCAAATTTATTCTTGTGAAGGGGCCAGTGTTGGGATTTCCCAAAAATTTTAATCTAGGGGTAAGGCCAGATCTGCTACAATGAGAAGGTGATGAGGTAGTCTGTGATGCAAGTTATCACCATGGACGCACAGACTGGTATTCTGTCACATGATAACTTCTTCACATACCAAGACCACGACAAAACTAATATCTTATAAAAGTAAAAGTATATTAGATATCCAAGAATGTTGCCAAGTCTCATCAGAATCTAAAGAATAATGAAACAAATGATAGTACTTTTCAATACACATCCTAATTATTTACTGCAAAATACCCGGGACAAGAGGTTTCTCAAAAATGGCATAATTATGATTTTAAAAGATAATGTGTGTGTGATATCAAGAGGAAGCTAGCCAAGTCTGAATCATCAAACAAATGCTTTCTACAATTAAATTTTGAACAGACTACCTGACATGTTGTCAAAAGGCAGATAATTATCCTTCAAACAAAACAAAAATGCATAAAAATGTTCACAAATAATACATGAAAAAAAATAATTTTAATTTAGAAATAAAATACAAGTTCTTTCTCTTTCATTCAAAATAATATTTCTAGAGTTGACAGTTTTCCAACTGACACCATAGAAAGCCATCTTCAAGGACACACAGGGATTTAATAAAATAAATACACAGCACAAATGGCTAACCAGGACTTATGAAATGATTAACACCTTGAAGGATGGATGAAAATAAAGATAGATCCTCAAATAAAACAAAGAACAAATTGATTGATGATTAGTTAAAAGCCAGAGAAAAAAGCAAGAACAACAAACAAAAATCAAGTAGGTTTTACCTTAATGAATGGCTGAGTGGCTGCTACAGCAGCTGAAGCAGCAACAGCAGCAGTTGCAGCAGTTTCATCCACAGCACCCCGTGTTCTAGCAGTCACTTGGTCCATTCCAAAGTCACTGTCTGTTTCACTGCCAGTCTGACTCCCTACTATGTGGGGCTGTACAATCTTTTTCCTCGGTTTACTGTTTTGTGACCTGCATTAAATGATTACATCATCATTAAGTGCCAGATCGGCGACAGACATCAACCATCATGGTTCTCCTTCCTACTACTATTTCAATGCTAAAAAAAAAGCTACATCCTGACCTCTCCCTGTCACCCATCTGTTTAAGCTTCTCAAGTAGGTCTCTCTGGTTCTACAGCGGCCTAATTTGCCCTCAATTTTGCAAGTGAGAGCCAGATTTTCAAGGCCTTTATGTCTAATTAAGTGTCCAAGAAACTGCTAGTCTTTTCCTGATTGCTTTAATCATAAGTGGCCCCCATGGGCTTCTTCAAGTACCATCTAATATATATGACTTCTTTAAAATTATAACACAATTATCTTTCATTAAACGTTACATACCTAATCAACACTTTTTTCCCATCCATTCTCAGCAATGTGACACTTTATCGCAATTTTTAACATAACCAAAAAGATAAGGACTCACCTTTGAGCATACATGCAAAAACTGGTTGGCATGCTTGCTATTTATGCCCACAGGCATCATGAGCATTATAACAAGATTTCAAAATCTATTCAGAGACATTGTAATTCATCCGATATCCCTCAAAAACATCAGCCACAGGCAAATGAGGAAAGATTAAAGGACAGCCAGTGCATAAATATAGAAAACCATCTGAAAGTCTTAACATTTGATAGTGAGAGTTCGGCTAAAACTTTAAACAAACAGAAAAAAAAAAATTTCCATTGTGCCAAGTTTGAACCAACAATGACATGCAAAAGTGATGCAGTTGTTTGTGGCTGGAGTTACAACAAAACACTTCAGTGTAATTTCAACCAAAAAAAGAAGTAGGAGACAACGAGGCACAACTTTCATACAAGATTGTTACATTGGGTTGGAATAATCCTTGAGTCTTCCCATGCACAATGAATCTAAGGAAAATATAACCACTGGGTCATGTAACTATAACCCATCAAAACCGATATTGGGTAAATAAAATTGAGGTACCTCTTTCCAAGAGCTTCTTTGAGATCCCTTTGCCTGTCTGACAGTCCAAACTGGGAAATGTAGACATCATCAAAGACTCTAGCTTTTGTGGGATCCACAGAGCCTCTACTCAGTGCCCCTTGTTTTAAGCCATGAGCACTGTGAGCCTGAAATATACAGTTTATAAAGCTTAGAGTCAGACTATAAAGTGCTCAAACAAACAATTTATTAGAACTGACAATGGAAAGGCAAGCTATTATTTTTTCAGTATTTGAAGAGTTCTTGTGTACCTAAATCTCACAACTCTGGTGAAACAGCTTGCCAGACTAGTCAGATTTACACTAATCAAAATACTATCAATGCAAGCAGTTACAAAAAGAGCTGATGTATAAAAAGATGAGCAAATGATAGTTTTTTTCGTTTTTTTTAATAAATGAATGGCAAACTCATTCATGATATTCCAAAACAGCTTTCAAAATTAAGCGCAGGTGTTTCCATGTTCTTTAATTTACATATTAATATTATAGGCCTAATAATCATTAATTTACACAGTGTTTGTTAAGTTTAGTACAAGCTACAATACATGATAAAGCTCTACAAGAAGATGAGAAAGCAATTGAAAATATATAGGAATTAAAAGTGGTGGGCTTTTATCTTATTTTAATAATCCTTTGCATTATAATTTTTGTCAAGTACAAGATATAAATATAATCATCATATCTGTTTGACTGGTCAATAGTCAAAACTAAATTTTTTAAAAAAGAAAAGAAAAGTAGTACATATCACAGATCTTCCAACAACTCCATCTAAGACCAGAGTTTTCCTCAGAATCTTCCATAAAAATTGGAATTTCGTGGTAAAAAAATCGGAGCCTCCAGAACCCCATTAGATCGAGATATTACCAACAGGAAAAGTAGCAAAGTAAATAGATGCAAAAAAAATGTGCATTTGCATGTCGTTTTTAAAATAAGTCGCGCAATTTAAAATAGACCAAAGCATTTCCACACCGTATGATAAGTTGTGTATGATAAAAACAGAATTAAAGAACAAAAAATAGAATTTTTTTCCAATCTGATCACCGTTCTTCAACAGGCACCAAAAATTTGTCCATATTCAATTTCACCCCAGTACTTGGCAAATCTCACACACACAGGCAGACTTAACTTATGACGATAATCTAATTAATTCATTAACACACACAGACATACACTACCACATTTCTATGGCAGTAAAATAGATGGGGAATAAGGTCAAAGGGTGGCATTACCTTGAAAATAGTGTCCATCCTCTCTTCTGACCCCCTTGCTAAAGGATGATTTGCTTCAATTACTGTGTCTATCACATTTTCAGTGGAATCATTCTCCGATGTCTCAGACATCCCTGAGGTCATCACAACTTGCTCATGTACATCAATGATCTCTGGCTGTTCATCACTGGCAGAAAACCTGTCTTCTTCTACGAAATTTTTGCCACCAGAAGAAGCTTCTTGACTCGCTTTTGAGTTTGCATGTTGAAATGAGCTTGTAAATTCGCCATGTCTCTCTATGCGGATGTGTCTTTGCTGACTCATGAACCTTGTTTGATTCTTTTTGCTATCCAAATCATCAACAATGATGTCAGAATGTGACTTTGCACAATCTATTTCCTGAGAGTGGTTTGAATCTTGTTTACCAGTGTCATCACTTCCTTTTTTGGCATGAGATTCAAGACCTCTTGGAAAGCTTTGATGCGATGGGAAAAACCTGTCACCCTGTGGCATTGGTGTTATTTCAATAACGGTAGCATTTTCACGTGAATTCTGGATATCATTTTCAGTAACATCTTCAGAGGTATCGTGATTATCATTTTCCATTGATGTCTGTGCTGTTTTTTTCTCAACTTCAGTGACCTTTGAACCAGACTTTTCAATGCCACTGTCCTTACTTTTAAATTCTTTCTGGGAGCTTTTATGAGAACTCTGGCTCCTTGGAGACTCAAATGGGCTTCCAGCAGAGCCAACAAACTGGGTAAGTATTTTCTCAGAAACGCCACTACTGGAGCCTGACCTGTCTAAAGACATCACAGCATTACCTGTCACGTTCACAAGCTCATCTAAACTTTTCACAGACATAGTTGCTTATTATTTGGGCAAAAAGTCATAAATTTTCCAAATCAAGCAGGATTAGCACTGAGTTTGGAATTTCAGGACCATACACATCAGCATTCTGTTGATCAGAAATCTTCAAAACATGTCAGATCATATTTTCCTCCCGCGGCCGCCATTTTGAAACAAAAATGTTCCTAAGGCCAGAAACAAAACTTTAATCATAGAGAGGGAGCATTCTATTCAAGTTCTTGGTTTTTGGATACAGAAGAGTGATGCAAAATAACTTTCAAAACAAACTTGAAAATGTGGAAGTCCTCGTCGATGTCAAACTAATTTAGATCTAGATTAGATCTAAATCTAGATTCTAAATGTGCTGTTGTCCAAATAAAGAAATTATGCCACTGTGATGGCAATGGTGAGTTGAGATATAATGTAACTCTTGTGTCTTGTTAAATGACAAAATGTGTCTCCAGTGTAAACGGGGAATGTGCGATGCAAATTTTGCAACAGGCTGTTACAGTTACAGGCCAAGTTGTTGAGTGGGAGGCCTGTTGACAGTTGAAGTTGAGGGAGACTGGAGACCTTGAGAGTTTTTAGACTAATCTGGAGATGCGTTCTGTAACCAATCGCGAAAGACATAATTTTGTGGATCCATAGAAGAATGCCATGGGTCTCTATACTCCGCTTCCGCCATTTCTTCCGCTAAACTCCGCTGCCGGGAGGGGCACCTCCCAGAAATGAGCCACCACTTTTTGTATATATAGATCTAGAGTCTAGATCTAGATCTAGATTCTAGATCTAGATCTATATCTAGATTATATAAAACTTAAACAAAATAAAAAGGACGGAAACAGAAAAACTGGGTGACAATAAAATGTGGTACTCGCTCCGATATTTATATATAAAATCTAATTCCTCCTCCTTCGCCTTCAGGCTGGTGTCAGGCCTGGAACAGGCGCCAACATTCCCTCCAGTCTCACACTTATCTACTAGACGGCCATTTTCTACTCAATATATTGATGCACTGAATACTAATATCAACTTCATTTCCACTGCAAACTTATTGTTTTTTAAAATATTTGATGGTTTTTAATCAAGCTATTGCACAAAATCCAAGCCTAATAATTGTTAATTTGCGCACTTTGGACCAATGGCCAGGTTTAAGGCAGGCCCCCTGAAGTAAAAAAAAAATTGGGATGCCTGACTATTTTCTTCATTAAAAGTTATTAAAAGTAAGGCAAATGAGCAGGCCGATATCTCCATATGTGTTGCAAAATTGATGAGCGCCTGATTCCACCGCACCGTGACACATTTATTAGGCTTACTAAACCTTACTATCATAACCCTACCCCTGATCTATAAAAATAAAGTTACCATTGATATTTCAGTGCTCTTGTAGTCTTGGGCCAAAACCGGAGATTGTCCTATCTTGAACAGAGAAGCTGAAATTTTTGCGACCGAAGGAGGTGGGGGTCACATGATTTTGGAGGTGAAATTGGTGAGAAAATGGCTGCCAAAGTTAGGTGACTTCCAAAGTTTGAGTTTTCTTGGAAACTGCAAACTTACATTTTTGTGCCTTTAGGTAGTGTGTGTCAGTAAAATCCATGCAAAAATGTGTAAAATGAACTTATAAGGTGATGAGCCAAAAAAAACAAAATTCTAAATATGAAATAGATCAGATAAAAATTGCCAAATGAGTAGAAAAATGCCCCTTTGATTACTTTAATTTGACAAGCACCTGATTTCACCATGATGCCAGACAAATGTTCAGGCCAAAATGGGATCCCAGGCTTTGGCTCTATCTTGAGGAAGTATGAATTAAATGCAGTCAATAACATTCATGGCATTATTAGTAGTGCAGCATTTGCCTTTTGACTCTTCAATGATTGATTGTATCATAGCATAGCAGTAAAGTAGAGTTTCATTTGAGATGAATGCAATAACTGCTGTATAAATAATTAGAATTGTGACTGTTTTGTAGCCCCTGATTGTCGTGTAGTCTTCTCAAGTTATCTTTTTATATCCTTTAATTTACTAATTCTCAGCCCACATTCTTTGCCCTTGTTCCTCACTCTTCTCAAAATCCTTAGTTTACCATGGTTGTGAACATCACGACACTGCCCTGGTTTCAGAATGTAAGCTTCTTGTGGCTTATTTCCTTCCTTTTCTTTTTACCCTTGTTTTAGGTATATATATATAGTGAAAAGGATTTTTTCTAGCTTTGCTGTCACAACAGTGCTTGTCTAAATCCTTTTTTTCTTTTGTCTCTACCGTCATTCAGGTGTATGAATTCTTGTGCAAGAGTGAATGTGGAGCATGAGGAAGAGGACATACCATCATCAAGAAGAAGACTATGAAAGGTATGCACTTAGTCTTCACCTGGACCACTTTCCTCATCCTTTTTGAGCCACATCATGATGTGACAGAGTCCTGTTACCATGGCAACCCACATACAGCAAGGCATGTGAGGAGGAATGCTGATACCTCTTATGGCGAGGGTAATGTGGATAGCCAGGAGAGTGGCCACAGCAGTGGAAAAGAGCCGAATGCAGAGGGAAGTCACTACAAGCCCATGAGAATCAAGACAGTGTACTCACTAAGCAACTACCTGCTGCCAGAAGAAAAAGAAAATCTCAAAAGGGTTTTGGAGCGTGCTGTTAGGAAAATCACAAGCACACTATCAGGTATGGTTTAATACATTTTCGAAAAATGCATTTGTTTGAGTCACATGCGTGACACTTCTTCAAAGCTACCAAATTGAGGCTCATATAAGGATGAAAGAAATTAGTGTATGTTTGGTGACACTGAAAACCACACTTTTGTAGTGGTCTTATTAATGGCAAAACAATTTTATATCATCATGTAGACAAATGAATGGGAATAACAACATTACCACTGATCGAAAGTAGGCTGAAACAGTCCTCATGGTAACATGAAATGGGCCTGTCCTAGTGATAAGAATATGTATACATTAATCTTTATTTTGAGCCTGTGTAAATAAGATATAGTTTTTAAACTTGCTAATGTCTTTATATTAAGTCATCAATGAATTTTTTCTATCTTTCATGTTTTTTTTGGTCACTTGGATCTGTTGTCAGTTCTACGGTCAAAAGATCGGCTTCTCCTGACTCGCGATCATGCATGTCGCGCCACTTTCAGGACTGGAATCAACAAAGGAAGGTAAGGCAAAATACTTCTCTTTTTTCCCCTAGTGAGGCATTGTAATAAATTTATTGAAGTGATGTATTAGAGTTATTTACCCATGAAAAGAAATTTGGCTTGATTTCACCCTAGAACTCTCCCCATGGCTGTTCAGTTCTGTCAATCTTTTCTGTCTCAGTTCTACATTGTTGTGGATATCATGATTTGATTACAGTGAGTTGATCTTCAGGAGACTGGGAAAAAAGTTCACATATACCATATGTGATGAGTCCTGAGGGCTTGGTTCACTAGATACACATTTCATGATTTGAGTTTTGAGTTTTGAGTACAGTTCAGCTTAAAAAGAGTAAAAATTCCCTTTCACTTTCAGTTGACACCAGTTTCAAATGAATACCAAGATATGTAACAAAATGAGTGGCAGTTCAATACTGGAATGCTCCACTACTGTCAGAAGCAAAGTGCTGAGATATGTTCGCAATCAAAGATTTGTTTAATACCTCCATAACAACAGACACATTTTTTAATAGCTAAAAACACATTTAAAAGCATAGCTTCTAGATTTTCAATAGATTTTCAGATAGATCAGTAATTAAAGAGACTATAATGCAAAACAAAGATTATTGTTATTTTTAAACATAATTACAAGTGATTCTAGCAATTTCTGCTGTTCAGCCTGATGTGTGTTGTGATATAAACCTTCATATCAAATCACAGACCTAGTGTTTGAGCAAATCCAAAGGATTGCCACTTCACATTACCTCCCTGGTGTTCTGCACCAAGATATAAGATCCAGACAATTCTTAATGCCCCACAAAATGCCTGTCGGAGCTCTTTTATGTGTGGGTTCAATGTGATCAACATGTATGCTCTGTATGCATGTCCATGACTTTTTTCACACCTTTCTTTTTCCCCATTTGATTGAAAGATAACCTGTGGCTCCCATTAAGTGTTTTTAATGAGTTCTCTAAAGCATTAATCATGTCATCTGTTTCAGATGTGCAAAAATACAGAAAGGCTATTCTGGAGAATTTTGCATGGACAATTTAAAGGTACTTTCACTTTTTCTTGTTTTGACCTGATATGAACCTCTAATAATTACATTACAATATACATCTTGCAAATATTTTATTAGTTTTTCCTTACTATTACTATTGCGTGGGAAGAAGAGCCAAGAAAAGATTTAAATATAATGGCAGCAATGCCTTGATCACAGGGTTATGACTGAGTTTTATTTTTTAATACCTTTTTATTTTTCACTGAGTTCATCTTGATTTTTTAAAAATATTTTTTGGTAAGTGTTTTACGACGCTCACAACTGCATGAGGTCATATGAGCACACTGGTCACACCAAACATTTTCACTTGGTAGAAAATTTGGAATTTTGTCCAGGTGGCGGCCAAAGCCTACTCTTATCCAATTTGGACCACCAATGGATCTTTATATGCGCAACTTGCACATGGGACCTCCGAGATTTTTCGCTCTTGTCCGAGAAAGCTAAGTGTAGATCTTACCTACCATAAGATCAGGGGTGTGGCTGAAAGACAGCAGTAAAAGGAGACAAGGAGAAGCAGTAGAAAGGCTGCAGAAAGAATCAGGAGCCCAAAGCGAGGGCAAAGGAGGTGAGGGGGTGGGGGCAGAAAGTTGAGACAAAAGCAGATGACAGAACATTGCTAGAGTGCAGGAAAGGATGTGAAAGGAGAACATTTTAGAAAAGAAATTTTCCGCCGCTATCCGGATTCGAACCCCAGACCTATTGAATGAGAGGCGAACACCTTTACCTCCAGGCCAAGAGAGCCCCTGAATTCATCTAATTAAGTGAATTATTTTATTTTCTTCATAACACACTGGTAAAGTGTGTTTGTATTGTTCTGAATAAAGTGTTTGCGGGTCTTTTTTGTTCATGTTTGACCTAGGGATCAAGGCATCCCTAGATAAAGTCATCAGGTGATTGGGGGTGATTTTCTTCACCTTTTTGTTGCTACTTTTGCTCTTTTCTATCTAAGGTGAAATTTAGCCGTTACTGTCCTCATTTAAATATTCAACTCTTTGCCATGTGATTGGTGTACTTGTACTATCTGTCTTCATTGCTACCATTTTACTCATCTATTCTGGGTGGAATTGAGGGTGGTTGGAAAGGGCTGCCGGTTGGTCTTACTTCCTTTCTTTACCTCTGTTGTTTCTATCTGTCTACCTTGCCTTTTGCTTCACTCCAAGCGACTATTACGGGCACGGTGTGCTTCTTTTATTCCTCTTCATTCAAATGAAAAACTAAAGTAAGCAAGATTTGGTCTCTATCAAGTTAAATGGCCTTATGGTCTGACTTGGTTCCCTCCTCTTTTATTTCTCTCAGATTCCCACTGCTCACCTGGAGGGGTTTGTTGTGTACAACAAGACGAGCTCTGGCCCGGTGAAAGTCTACCTGAAGGATGGCCCAGGCCTGAAAGACACTGACTTTGTGTTGTATGTCACTTCACAGACTACTGCCTTATGTAATCCTTTGGTAAGTCAAGGAAGTTATTTCACTGAAAATGCAAACCCAATATAATCTTTTCACTCACAAAAATCTGCTTTGCATAACCCCATTATTTGTGAATGCAGTCAATTCACTGGACTGACATCTGTGGTGTAATGGTTAGGCTCTTCTCTGTTGCATGCAGAAGACAGAAGTTCAACTCCTGCATGAGGAAGTTTTTTTAAAAAATCAAGTATCTATCTGCTGAGATACTGTATCCCATTCCGCGGAAGATTGCCCCGACAGACAGGGTGTAACCGTTGCGCCTCCGTACTGATTTAAATTGTCTGGATGGGGGTATAAGACATTTGCAGTCAATCAGTCATCAATCATTTTATAGAAAACAACCTTCAGTGTTTACTGATTTAATCAATTCCTGATGAAACGTGGCTGCAATGGAATTGATGTGTTGTTATCTGCAGTGAAACTACGCGGTGTTTAAATATTTTGAACTTGAAGGATGTTTCATATGAAAATTGCTCACATTATCCCACAATGAGAATTTTGATAAATATTTGATTTAGTCTCTTAAAAAGTAATAACTACCGAAGCACACTTACATTGCGAGTTTTACGTTACATTTTGTTTACACTTATTTGCTGTTTTCAAAACAATTTTCCCCCTTGCAGAAATCATCTGCTCTAGCGTATGCTGCATACTGTAAGATGGACGAGACTGGGCGGCCGGTTGCTGGACAGGTCAACTTTTGCCCCCGGACTGTGAAGGCCCAGAAGTTTGATGAGGAGCTCCTTTACAAAGTTGGTTTTACACAAGGGTGTTGTGCATTGTTTTGCTCTTTCTAGAACATGCTGAACATTTTCTGCAGGTCTTTGAATTGGAGTCATATTTTAAGTCCTGTCAGTGCACTCCTTTAGCTCATTGGTATCATGTTGAGGTATGATGTTGATGGCCCAGGTTCAGAGTAGTAAGGGGAATTTTTATGGCTCTCTATCCACCTGGTAAGAACTTAAGATAAATGGAAGTTAAGTGAAGGTTCTTATATCAACAGTGTTATGCTCGTACTGTGTGGCTGAAAAAAAATAATAAATTAACTATTTTTGTGTTGTATAACTATTGCGGGGGTTTACCTGCAGGTCTACCATGAAAATTAGAAAAGTCTGCATGCACTATAAATTGTATGAAAGTGATGATTTTTGTGTCTACTCTCACAAATTAAATTAGTAGAGGTTTTTTTGCATGTTGGACAATTTTCAAGAAACAGTTAGAGCATAACACCATAGATATAATCTCACAGTGTTAAAAGAAGCTTTAAACCATATTGATTTATACTGCTTAGTCTTACTCACACCATCAAGGTGGAACTTGCTCCAGAATTGCAGATGTAATAGTTGGTGCCGTTCCATCTCAACTGATAATAGTGTTTATTCTGCTTTGTTGGTCTATGTTATGTTTTGTGACAACACATACCAGAAAGTAACATGTGGCAGTGGGTGCAAGGAAGTGATGGATGTTCTGCACTCTGTTGTACTGGCTTGTTTCTCTTCAGATGTGACATAACACTGGCAAGCTGTTCAGATGTTGTAAGCCCGGTTAGGGAAATGTTTCAGAAAAGGAAAAACTGCTTCATTCTTGCACCAATTGTTTTAACATTATCAATTTTTTTTTCTTTCTTTTTTTTTTTTCTTTTTTTTTTCCAACTCTTAGAATATGAATTTCGGCAAAACATTTGAGCACACGCAACCAAAATCACAGATTATGAAACTGCATTGAAAAATGTTTCAAAATTTTGGGCCTAGTACATCTGAACAACCAGAGCCAACAATATACTTCTTGGCTGTGATGTCTTTCTGTTTGTTTTTGAGAATGGTTTTTAACTTCTTTCTTCCGTCCACTGTGATCTTTCACTGTTTGTTTGTGAGTTTCAAAGTTGTAGTCTATTTCGATCATGCCCCTCTTGCAGGCCTCTTTGTATCTGAGAAGAGGTTGAATTTTTTTTCACCCATTACGGATGGTCTGAGAGCGCCACTGGTCCATCTTCTTTGCTCTCCTTCTGTTGTTTTTTTCCTCTCTGTCTAGCACCATTTGTTTCCTAGCAATTGTGGTATTATATGGCTGTCTTCCTGTCTTTATTTTTTATTGAGCCATTGGGTTACAAAGAGAACTGTGAAGTATTATCTGTCTTTCTTGTTGAGCTTTCATGGATGTTGTGTCTAATTGTTTCAGTTTCATCACTTGACTCACCCTGATCATTTTTTTTGAGTCAACTCCAGACTTGGAATGAGTGATTATTACAAAGTCAATCAGACAAATTATTTTCTAAAGAATTCTGTTACAAAGTGTTGTGTTTGGTTTAATTTTATGTGGAGCACTTTTGTCCTGGTATAAATATCAGGTCGTTTTCTCTTTACTTGTATGGTATGCCCAGTTCCTGATGCATGCAATTCAAAACTGAAATATAGTGATCATATTTCGTTGAAGTTGAAATATTGATTGAATTTTATGTTTTTATGTATATGAATTTCATATCGACGGGAGTACATTTACTGCAATTTCATTGCGCTGTGATGTATGTTTTGTGTACATTATTAAAAAAAAATAAGACAGCAGTGCAAATGTTGTAATATATATATTGTGTGCATGCTAATGACAAACTGTTATTTATATCTTTCAGTGAGCAACTTATGACTTGTCCAAATATAGATCTAGCCGTGCATCTTGTACACAGCATTGTGCCTCGCTTATTGCTCTAACGCCAAAACAGGACCTTGGCAAGTTTGCATGCTTTAGTTGGTAAATAATGTTATGTCTTTTACTCTGACACCTTCTGTCTTTGGATTCCAGTCCACCTTTGAGTTAGATTTTCCCCAAGTAGAATTAATCCCTAGTGTGCTCTCTATTTTCTCATCTTCCTATCATTCACCTTACTTTTTACAGCACCATATTATTGTCATTGTATGGTATATGCCATAAGTAGACCATATTTCTTTGTTGTCCCTCTATTGCTCCTGCCTGTCTCTGTCTCTTTCTAAGAAATGAATGATCCAAATAGTGTCAATATGTTTCTGTTGGAAGTCCAACTCACCTAATCAAGTTCATCTAACATGCCATCTTGTGCTCTATCTTTGTTACTTTCTGTGAGAGGGGTGATCAGCGATGTGTGGAGGGAAAAAAATGCTTGACATAATGGCTTGAACATCTAAATAGCTACCTGAAATACTTATGAGATAAATAATTTTCACCTGTTGTGTCACCAGCCTGATCAGATTACTCACACAATTCATAAACTTTGACCTGCACTGCTACTCAGGGTATCGAAAAAGACCTGTCAATTTGTACCATGGTCCTGACATATTGTATGTAAAGCAAACTTGTACACATTTATCACACTTTTTCTTGCACTATACGTTTACTTAAATGTGGAATGTTTGTTTGCAATATTGCTTCAAAAGTATTTTAAAAGAATGCTAACTTCTTCTTTATAATTGACTATGGGTTGGGTATTAGGAGAATCAGTAAAAGATTTAAGGGATATATTCTACCTTTTTTTCTTTGTGGGTGTTTTGCCCATCTGCGTATTCTTCAATAGGAAGGGGTCATTTCTGGCTACTGTGGAGTGGGTGATTAGTGGGTGTTCTGTTGTAGTGTAGTTTTATTTCTGTTCTGTGCATTCTTTATCTTGATATCCTCCTGGCTGTAATTTGGTCCTTTGCTGTAACTGACCCCCCGCATCTCTTTGGCTTAAAAATGGCCATTCCCTATATTATTGTTTTGCTTTAGGGAACATTTTTGCAGCTTTTTTTCCTCCCAGTTATTTATTACGTGGTTTTACAACACTGCCAAGTTATCTGATATTAATTAGAATTGTATAGCAATGATTAAAGCCATGTTTTTATATCCATTTGGTGGCATATCGATAAATCGTCTCGTGCATGGATGTAAAGGCTTTGCCTGTTTGTTTCTCTTTTAATTCTTGTAAGTCTTAGGATTTTCTTTAACACTTTCATTTTAGGAGAGTTGATCATTTCCATACACAAATAGTTTTGCATTATTTGCAATGTCTAATTTGTTTGTCAATTGCTTCTGTGAGATTTGTAACCACTATCAGACAGCTTATACAGTTATAAGACTTTCATACAAATCCAATTGCAAAGGCTTTTAATATACTCCACTTTCCTATGACTTCAATGTTTTCACTGACTGACCACTTCTTTTCTTTAAATACTCTTTTAAAGTCAATTTCACTGCTTTGATACACTGTAGGAATCTGAGTTTTAATACTTAGTGCAATGATAATTTTAAAAATAGCATTTATGATAGAGTGCACTGTCCTGTTAAAATACAAGTTCTAAGCGCTGTACAATCAGTAATAGAAGACAGTACTCAGAAACAAAAAATATATTTGCTGAAGTGAAAAAGAATGGCTGTGTTCATGATCTTTGTTTTCAAATGGGCTTTAAAAGACTCAATATTTTTTCTACTTCTCTCAATAGTGTACAAAAGTCCTTAACATTTTCACTCTTTGAGTTATTTTCAGAAGTGACATGTTTTTCATGTGGGGTGCACTGTTCTGAACAAACTGTTTATCCTTAAGTTACATTTGTCTTAATATTGTTAGAAAGATCTAATGTTAGTCATGAAAGCATGAAAAAATAGCAGTCAAGATATTTCAAGATGACAACATTCCAACATGGAAAGATATAATGAGATTAGACTAAACTGAACATGCTGCATGCAGAAATCTCAACTAAAAGTTCACTTGCTTTGATTGGGCAAAAGGTGTGCATGTTGTGTTTAGGGAAAAGAGATGGTTTGAATATTTTTTTTTTTCTTTTTTTTTTTCGCTCCTTATTAAAATCATTAATAGTTTATTACAACAAATTCATTTTCATTTCTCAAGAAGCTTTTATTTTTTTATTTATTTCTGAGAGCCTAATTGCATATTTGAAGCACTGTTAGTGAATGCATGTCTTATTTTACAGTAACTATTTAAATTTCGTTTTTATGTGTCATGCTTTGTTGAATATATTATTGTCAAGAACATTTTGTTGTTGTTATTGTCGATGCTTGTGACAAGGTCAATAGCCATACTATTGGTTTATTCCCATTTTATGCATTTGTTAGACAGGACTCATTTTTTGTCTCCTTTTCAGACGTCGCTTCATGAGTTGTTTCATGCCTTGGGCTTTTCAAATAAATTGTTTGGAAAATTCAGAAATTGTGACGAAGGTGAGTCTCAGTCTCAGATTTAATATATATCTTTGTCATAAATATGTTACAATTTTGTGCACTTTTATCTTTTTTTCATTGCAAGACAATTCCATGTGACTATTAAGCAGCACTGGGCTAGTCGGGGGGGTGCTGTGATGTGATGTGTCTTTGACCATCACTTTCTGCCTTTTTTTGTCAATATTACCTGTATCCAAGTCTGTTCTTTACATGTGTCTATAAGCCCCATAAACTACAGATCGCCAACAATGACAGCAGTAGTCCTTTCTCCTTTTGACGCCCTCGAACCTCCCCCTCTTTCTTTTTCCCTCTTGTCAAGTTGCTGAAGAGCTCGAACCTCCCCCTCTTTCTTTTTCCCTCTTGTCAAGTTGCTGAAGAGCAATGAAAACTCCTCAGACAATCCAAGCTAAAAAAATGGGATTTGAGCCAGTGTCATTCACATTCTAGTCCAGTATGATATATGCATTTATTTAGATAATTATGTGGCTACAAAACGTGTGAAAATAAAGAAGATCCAAAGATCCTTCCCAACAGGTCATGGTTGGCGGGTGCTCTGATGTGTCTGCTCCATTTCTTCCCATCAAACATCTGTTGTCCTCATCTCTCCTCCTACTTGTGGGTGGTTGGCGGGTGCTCTGGTGTGGTTTGCTTCTTCTTTCCTATCAAACATCTATTGTCTTTATCTCCCCTCCTTTTTTATGTTTGTTACTCTCTAATCTTCGGCTCTTATATGACCTTATTGTGTTGCAAGTGCCGTAAAACTCTTACTAAAACTAAAACTCTCCTCCTACTTTACTTTGTATGTAACTGTTTGGTGATACCTCCAGTCTTCAGTGCTTACTTGACCTATTTGTGTCTGTTTAACTCTCACTTAAACTATACACCTTTTCTATATCTAAATTTCACAGTTGGAAACTGCACTTCATGGCCTAAGGTGTTTGTGTTGGTGGACGGAATCAAACGACTGGGCACTGATGCAGTTGTGCGAGAGATGCAACGCCACTTCAACTGCACCTCTGAGCCAGACTTTGGGGGACCTTTGGAAGATGTTGTAAGGGACTTCAGTTTTCAATTTATGCATGCTGATGCCATCGCAAGATAAATCAGTGCAAACAATGCAAAATTATATCAGTTTTTGCCCCTTGCAACACTCTGTGGATATTTAAAAGGTGGCACTCGAATTAAACGTCGGTCTCCAATATTACGAAGCTAAGTGGGAAAATTTTTGTAAAGTGCTTTTCTCAAGGACACTATGATTGACGTGGGTGGTTGACGGGTGCTCTGGTGTCGTTTACTTCTTCTTTCCTATCGAACATCTATCGTCATTATCTCCCCTTCTTCTTTTTTATGTTTGTTACTCTCTTGTAACACCTCTAATCTTCTGGCGCTCATATGACCTTATGCAGTTGTGAGCGCGGTAAAACCTCTACTAAAACTAGCTAAAAATTATTTTTGACTGAGCTGAGCCTCAAACCCCAGAACCCACAACCTCACAATGTATATGTTATTCATATTCATATTTATGTTATTCATGACGCAGCCAAGAAAAATTTTGGTTGCTAGAGGGTACCAATCTGAAATTTTTTTCCTTTACATGTCTGTCAGGTTTTTTTTCCTCAATATGAAATAACAGCTGTTGTGTCTATGTGACTCTGTGTGATTTTTAAAAAGATTTTAAAAAACAACTAGAAATACTATTATAGAACTGAGAAGAATAAAGTAGAAAAACACAGTGGGTTTTTTTTTTTTTGTGTTTTATTTTTAATCATTATTTTTTTTAAGATTTCTCCTTTTTTTGTGTTTTGTTCCAGAATGGCAGAGTGATGTCACACTGGGATCCTCTGCTCATGCACAGTTCTGTCATGACATCAAAGGAGCAGAAGGTGGGTGGCTATTTTTGCTCTTAATCCTTTGTTCTCAGCCACTTTTTGTCTTGTATTTAAAAGTTCTTGCTGGTTATCTGGTGCTAATACAGTGGAATTTGTTCGAGATGGTAGTTGAAGCAGGTTCAACTGTAAACATAGAAGCATAGAAGATTATAAGTTTTATGTTATTACAACTTCATAGACACAATATAGATTATATATGCGGCAAGGTTCTTTCAAATTGCCTGTCTGGGCCAAGCCCAGGCTGAGGGGAACATCCCAGCGCAAAGACAGATACTCAACAGAATAATACCTTCTCCACATGGGAATCAAGCACACATCTTTTCTGCTCAGGACTTTATCCATTACCGGTGTGTCTCTTGTGGCCTGTTGTGTCTTGACAGACAGTCTTAAAGCAGTATGCATGATACAGCTTTGCTTGGACGGTAGACATAGGGAAGTAGATTGCCCAAGTGTTGCTTCATTGCCTTCAGATTTTGACTACCTTGATATGTGCCACAGAAGGTGTAAAGTGCTGTAAAAATCTTACTAAAGCAACAAGAAACAGAGATTCTCTCGGGGACAAATAGAGGAGGGTGACCATGTCTTGTCATTGAGTGCAGTAGCCAACACCACACCCATCCAGGGATGCAAGCAAATGAACAAGTGAAAGTCCATTAAGTTTTTCTGGGTTGTTTTTTTTTTGTTTTGTTTTTTGTTGGTTTTTTTTTTTCTTTTTTGT